GCGTCTCGAAAAAATCTCGAGGCACGGGCTGTCTGCCCTCGCCGCCTCGCGGCAGGGGCCCCGACGGCAGGGCCGCGGGCGCCTCCGGCCTCCGCCGCGGGGGGGCCTGCTGCCGGAGAGCCTCGGGGCCTCCCCCGCAGGGCGCCGCAGGGAGGGCAGCCTGCCCCGAGCTTCGCGGGGGCCACGCCGCGAGCCCAGACCCCCTCGAGGACGGACAATCATGACGGGAGGTGTTTTCCGATTTTCGCCCTCCGGGGGCCCTCATCGGGCCTCGGGAGCGCCAAACAACGACTCGGGATGCAAGGCCGGTCATGGGGAACAGGTCGAGACCTCTGGGGGTCGACGTAATGGAAAATCATCACGTTGGAGGTCTGGGCACCCTGAGATCCGATGTCGTGATGATTTTTTCAATGCGGGGTCCCCAGAGGTCTCGACCCGTTCCCCGGGACCGGTTCTTCATCCTGAGTCGTCGTGTGACGGTCCCGAGGCCCGGCGAGGGCCCCGTGGGGGCCGAGTTTGGCGAACAGCCTCCGTCTTGATTTTTGCCAGGCGTTGGATCTCTGGGCACGCGTTGTCCTGTTTCTCGCATGCCGCATGCGACGTCCTGCTTTTCCAGAGCGGGGTCCCCGGGAGCCTCCCGATCCTCTCCCCAGGGCTGGCCTCTCGTCCCGAGCCGTTGCTCGAGGGCAGCCTGGGCCATCGGGAAGGGCACCCCCCGGCGGCCGAACGTTGGTACGTCTCAGTGTTTTCACGACGCGAGGAAGTGTTCACGACCTCCTCCTCCCTCCTCCTCCTTCCTCCTCCTCTTCCTCCTCGCGTCCGCCTCGGCGTAAGCAATCTTAAGGCGGCCTTAGACCTAACATCATGTTTGTACTTCCCATGACCTGCCAGGTCTGATGTCGCACCTCAGGCTGCTGGTGGCCGTCATGGCCGCGGGAGTTTGCCTTCAGCTCAAATTGGAGGAGAGATGGGGGGGCACCGACGCCGCCGAAACTACTACCACATGTGTGGCGCTGCGGCCATTACAATCCCTCTCCTCTCTCATCCTCTCGCCGCGACCGCCAGGAGGACATCAACCTGGCGTGCGAGAACTTCGACTGTGTCACACTTATCGGCACCACACAGCGCGCCCAATTGCGTGTGCAGCAGCGACGGCTTGGCAGACGATGGCAGGTAGAAGGAGGCTGGTGCCAGGGCCAGTACACGAACAGCTCTGTTGGCATCACCATGACATTTGGATGCAACGCGTAGCAGCGACATCTACGCCACGTCATAGTCCCAGGTGTTGTTTTTGCTGGTCGGGACCTTGCGGTTCGAATTGTGTCATCATTTGTCATGAATGCACCTTCATTGGGGTCTACTTCCCACCGAGAGTGAAAACCAAAGGGAAGGAGTACGATCGTACTGGTCGTGGCCTCATAGAGTGGATTGCATAAGTACTGAGCAAAAAGCCGAGCAGAAGCGTCCCCGCACGATGTAAGGATCTGAGTGACGGCGTGGGAGTTGCACCACCACCGAACTGCATGACGGCCGATATAAAAAGGCTATCGGTGAAATGGGGGCGCGCACTGAGCACATGGCGGGGCAGTTGCTACGTGAGTTGTCGGAGACCATTGTGTGACAGCCAGGAGTGCCGATCTGGGACAATCAGCGCTGTATGGAGCCAGCGGAGTGGAGACCCTCATTGACTGTGTGTATATATATATATACGCGTGCCCACCAGTCTGGTCTGCACCAGCACGGGCACACTTTGCACACCTATTTCGTCGGCTTCAACTTTATCGGTAACGAGTACGACGCGACCATGTGTTTCTACATCTACAGTTCGGCCTTCCTGCCTGGACGACAACTCACCAAGCAAAGGCGACGCGGACGAAATGTGGCAGACACGAACTGCTCGATGCTTGTCATCGTGCACACGAGCGCGATGATTATAGCAGAGCATCGCCGTGGAAGAAGGATTGCAGCAAGGTGAGGAAGTCATGGGAGATCTCACGAAGGTGCAATGCTGCAGGTATGGGAAAATGTTTCGCAGAGGAGCAGCATGAGGACCAACGATACGCGGCATTTCAGGCACACCATCGGCAATTGTTACACCAGCGCCAAGAGCTTCGAGCGGCACGGGGCAATGCAAGTGTTTGGTGGTTTCTCCTGCTGCGCTTACAACGTCGGCACCAGTGACGGCTTCGCAGAATGGTTGGCCCGACATCGGACCTGAGCGCTCCCACCTATCGGATGAGGAACGACGGAGCTCGGAAGAGTTCCGAGCCCTGCCCCGACACGTGAAACGAGAGCGGATTCTGGACTTGAAGGCCTTTCCGGGAAGAACGATCAATGCGATATGAGAGCAGTGGCGGAAACGAGAAGTTTCTGGCGTGCACCGCCTTGCCAGACGTGCAGGAGGCAGATAGTTCGGCGCTGAGCGACGCCCTTATTTAGCAGCACAGGTTGCACCACCGACAGAGAAGGAATGGTTGGATCAGCTGTCCCCCCCTGGGTGCGAAGTCGGCACGCAGGCCGCGCTTGTCCCGTCCTGGATCTTTTGCGTTCGAGCTCGCGTAGATGACGATTTGGCCCCTGATTCGACTGGCCGCCTAAACAAGCAGCAGTGGAACAAAGTGAGATGTTCGTGGGCTCGAAAGATGATCGCTGCGAGCTCCCAAGAGAGAGGCGGCCCCGAGCTGGGCTGCCCCTGCGGAGCTCCTGGCTATCCTTCTGGCCCCGCCCGCGGTTGCCTCGCATCGCTGTCGGGGGGCAGGGGCACCGGGGCCCGAATTTGACGCGCCAGTTTTTCGGCCCACGTTGGAAGGCGCCTGTCTGAGAATCCGAATCAGCACGCGCGCGCCTGCTTTTTTTGGGCGCTCCCGCATGGGGTCTCTTGGGAAAACAAACAAACAGCCGACGGGCCAACCTTTGGGGGGGCCGCCTCGGGGTTTCGGACCATTCGCCTCCTCCCTCCGCTCGGCAAGAACTGGTTCTCCACCCACTCCTCGACCCCGCAGACGCCGCCCCAAGTGCATCTGGGTTCGTTTTCGCCCCATCGCTGCATGGAGAATGCCATAGTCAATTAATGGTGATGCGGCACATCCGCAGAGTGGGCCGCTCAGGCTTGGTTCACCCTCGCGATCTCATGAACGCCTGCCGCGGGCCGCTGCGGCGGAGCTGATGGGGGGCGGGGCGCGCGCCAGGGCTGTCAGCGCTTCGAGGAAATGGCAGCGACGCTGCAGTGCGAAGAGGGCCCTCGTTATTTTCCAACCTGGCTGTGGAGGCATCGCGGGGGGGGGGGAGGCATGCGTCGCGCGGCAGTTTGTCCGGGGCTTCCAGACTGCTATCCAGGATCGGGGAAAACGCCTCGAGGTGGAGGGGTTGGCGCCGGGGGGCTTGGTCACTCAGCGCCCATTCCTGGATGGGGCCGACGATGTGTCACTCAGCTTGAATGCTGCTGCTCTGTTGGGTTTCTTACGGGGGCATCGCCGATGGGATTCAAGGCCTCGCTCATATGCGCGAGCGAGCCAATTCCCTCCTGGATCAAGCCTTGGCCGAAATAGGTCGCAGGCAAAACATGGGCAAGCGAGAACTTGCCCCCGTGCTTTCGGGGCCTGGGTCGGGGACCTACGCGCGCGACCTCAGAATGCAGCGCGCCACCCTTCCCGCCCCTCATCGCACGCGCGCTGGATAATTCGGGGGGCGAATCTGTGTTAATTGTAGCTATGCAGTAGCGTGTGCATGCCGCAGAGAAGGCGGCGGCGGCCCCTTTCTCCCGGGGGGCTGCATGATTTTTGGAGCGCGCCCCGCGAAGGGTGAAGCGCGCGCTTCTTACATGCTGCGTACAAAACATCGCGCTGCAATTTAATGAAGCCTATATCTGATCCAAACAACAGCATATCGGATTAGATCATTCAGAGGCGCGCTGCGCTAGGGGGGCGATGAGAGGAGCAGCCCGCGAACTGCGAGCAACAGAAACTAGACAATGGCAGCGTGCACGCGGCACGTCGCAAGCACTGGGGCATGGGTGAATGGCGCCCGCTAGTCTCGAGATGTGGGCGCGGCGCCTACGGGGGCACCAGGCCGCGATCGCCCGCCAGTGGAGGAATGGCCAGATTATCACCTCCATCCTCGGCCACTTCTCGCTCGAGGACGAACTGGCGCTGACCCGGGGGGACTTGAACAATGATGCGAAGCCGTGGGCGCTCAAATTTCGAGAGGATTGACGCGAGCGAGTAGATGGACTTTACGAGGGGGCGGGTATCTGAGGATGTGTATCCGAGCGGGGCGGTTACATATGTTCACCGATGAGGTGGTGAAGGCTGGGTTTCCCAATCGAGATTCAATTTAAAGTAGTTCGAAAAAGAGTGTATAACTCAACAGTACCGCCACCAGAATGGCATTCCAATCGGTTGCCTACTCGCACTGATTTTTACTACTACTACTACTATTACTACTACTTCTACTACTACTACTACTACTACTACTACGACTACTACTACTATTACTACTTCTACTACTATTACTACTACTACTACTACTACTACTACTACTACTACTACTACTGTTGCTGCTGCTACAAACATAGGTGGATGAGGATGGAAAGGCGGCTTCGTCCTGGGCGATGGAACATCGCGCTCGGCTTGCTCCGACACGCGCGGGGCGGCCACGCAACGCAGGATGGCCAAGCATGGACAGCGTGACGCGTGCACTGGAATAGTTTCGGCGAGCGTCTGCCCTTTCTGCGTCGTCGCGTTCAGCTGCGCGAAGACGGCTCAGCAGCACCTTCTCTCGAGCGTGGCCAGGGTTGGGCGCTGCATTGATCGCTCGAGATACCTAGGATGGCGCCATCATCCCGATCGCGTCGGCCGTCATCTGCGCAAGTTGCGGGCCAAAACTTTTGAGCAGTTATAACGGCATCTACAGAGTCACGTTCCCACTTTCAAAGTGTTTGCCGAGCTGGTGCCGACGCGTCTCCCTCGATATCGCAATGTCGTTTGCAGCCGCCGCCCCAGCTTGGGCCTTGTAGAGAAGCGCCGATTCCAGCTCAGGCGCAGAAGGACTCGCAAGGTGCAGATCCAAGATTCGCTCGCCAAGGGCGTGGACATGGAATACGGTGCTCGTCGACGCCAGGTCGCCCATCGCAGCCGAGATGATGGCCCGATGGCAAATCGCACCACGAGGCGACAACATCGGCCAGGAGAGATCCTGCCGCCCAGGACCGCCTCGACGCCCCGTGCGTGCACGTCTTCACAGGCCTCGCGCTCGGACTGTCGAAGAAGCAGATGGAGCTCGAGCCGACCAACGAGCAGTGCCTGACCAAGTTCTGCGTGGGGCGAGGTGATGCACTGGTAAATGCAAGGCAGCCAAGGTCAAGGACTGGTAGCCCGGCCTCGCCATTTTTTCGATCGCGATGAGCACGGAGTTTGGCACGGTGCAGATGGCATTCTTGGCGGCGCTGGCGCAGGGCGGCGGCGTCAAGAAGCGCGGCCCAGCGCCCAGGGGCCCCTTGAAGCGGGCCGCGCAGGAGCTCCTCGAGGTGCGAGGGCTCGTCGTCGGGCAAGAAGAAAGCGTATAGCTGGAACCTGAACGACAGCCCCAGCGGCTGACGGATATCCAGCGCGTGCAGATCGCGCAGTTTTCCCATCGTCTCCTGCAGATGGTGGAACGAGGTGCAGTGACGCTGGGAGCCGCTCTCCGACACCCAGGCGTTGCTGCCGCCAGCTTAGTGCTGCAGCCGCCAGCGCGGCGAAGGAAAGGGAGGGGCAAGGGTGGGTGGGTGAGTGGCCGTGGTGTTTCTCAGGCCGCCGAGCCTTCTTCTGGGACCAAACCCGCCCACCCCTTCGAACCCAAACTGATGTTGGACGTGGGCCGGTCGTGCCCCGGATGGTGGGATTGGCCTTTGTCACGAAGGCCAATCCTTACTGTCCCGACACAGTGCGTGTTTACTGTCCAGGGCGGGGTGGCTAGCCACGCCCTTCAGCCACAATAATATTTCGTGGTTTGTGGTGGTGCGGGGAGGCCCGTCAGCTCAGTCGGCAAAGGGAGGGCGCTTTAGACCGCCAGTGCCGTGCTCCTGCCTGCATAAGCGGCCACCCAGAAGTTCCCAAATAGTTCCTCAAGGCGAAGGCCGGTTTAATATGAGTTGTATAACTTGGCGATGTATGCCAGGGAAGCATCTCACCATATCAGACGAACCTAGTGCCCCCAGAGATCGATTTCGATTCCGATCTCTCCTCCTCCTCCCTCCTCATTATCCTTTTCCCTCCTCCTCCACACTTCCCCCTCCTCAGTCCTCCTCCTCCTCCTTCTCCTCCTCGAGGTCCTCCTCCTCCTCCTCGAGGTTCTCCTCCTCCTCCTCCTCCTCCTCCTCCTCCTCCACGAGGTCCTCCTCCTCCTCCTCCTCCTCCTCCCTCGTCCTCGTCCTCCCTCGTCCTCCTCTTCCTCCTCCTCCTCTCCTCCTCTCCTCTCTCCTCCCCCTCCTTGTTCTCCTCTTCCTCCTCCTCCTCCTCCTCCCTCCTCCTCCTCCTCCTCCTCCTCCTCTTCCTCCTCCTCCTCCTCCTTCCCTCCTCCTCCTCCTCCCCCCGGCGTCCGAACATTGCCCCCCCGATGTGTTCACGACGCGAGCTTGGTCTCAGAGCAGATGGGGCGGTCCAGAAACTGCCTGAAGTCGGGTATGCCATTGCGCAGGAGGAATATTCAAATATAGCTAGACAGCATTTATCCGGGGACGATGTTTCGACCATGTTTTGATTGTTTTGGGGTACTTTTGGGTTCTCTTCCGTAGTTCTCCAAAATACATCGTGGGAGGTCATTGCCCGACTAAAACCCAGATGACGCCGACCCCCAGAGTTCTGGACCCATTCCCCACCCCGGGTCGTTGTTTGACGGTCCCGCGGCCCGCTATGGGCCCGTGGAGGCCGAGACTTAGGAGCAACTTCCCGCCGTGATGTTTTCATCACCCGAAGGGGGTCAGTTGCCGCGAACATGCCATTATGTTAATCAGTTGCGCCGCGTAAGCGACTATACCAACCCTATGCGACGACCCCAAAAACCACTTTCGACCCTGGCCCCCCTGACCTCGAAAGCAACGTCGGTGCGGTCACGGTTTCCCAGGCGAGGCGCCTCCCCACCCGAGGGGGTCTGGGAACAGCTTCGCCTTCGAGGGTCGGAGGAGTGGGCCTCTCTTCCTCCGCGGCAGGCGGCGGACACGCGGGTGGGGGGGGCGGCGCTCCGCCAGCGGAGGGCCGACAGCAGCGGAGAGGTGGGCCCTCCAGGAGATGCCAGCCTCTGTGGGTTCCTCCTCCTCCTCCTCCTCCTCTTCCATCCTCGTCCTCTTCCCTCCTCGTCCTCCTCCTCTTCCCCTCTTTTTCCCTGCTCCTCCTCCCTTCTCCTCCTCCTCCTCCTCCTTCTCCTCCTCCTCCTCCTCCTCCGCCTCCTCCTCCTCCTCCCCATTTTCCTTCTGTTCCTCCTCCTCTTGTTCTTCCTCCTTCTCCTGGAACCTGCCACGACGCCAGATGCCTGATGCGGGCAATAGTTATGTTTTATGTTAGTATGCATGCCTGTTTGGACTTTCGGGCAAGGAGCGCCAAAAAGCCGAGGAGCAGTGGATATAGATGAGCATCTGGCCTCCATGGGCCAGAGTTTGCTTCATACTCCACTGCGCCTCTGGCTTCTGGGAAGGGAGCCCGAAACTCGAAGACGCCAGAAGTCCTCCTCTGATGCAGGCAAGATATGTTGTCATGTCCTTGGTGGACATGGATACGAACCTTGCCCGCGTCAGTGAAGAACAGCTATCGCCTCGAACTGTGTCGAGACACATGGGCCCCCGCCCTCTCGGCAACTTCCCGTGGACTATTTCTGGGGTCCCGAGCCGTCTTCTGGCGGTCGGTCCCGGGGGGCCAGCAAGGGTCTTCCGAGAGACACCGAGCGCGTTCCACTACTCGCAAAGTTCCCTCTCGCAGACGTCGGGAAACATATATTCCTCTGTGCAATGGATCGTAAATCCCTCGCGGCGGATGCAGGCCATTTGCGAGTAGTTATTTTGCGAGCAGTGGAACGCGCTTGTCCAGAGAGGCCGAACACGCGGAAAAGCCTCCGTCTCGATGTGTGTTGAGACGCCGGATGCTTGTGGACGCCGGCTGTCTGTTACCAGCCTGGAACACATGCTGCCCATCCCTATGATTGGCACCGCCTCACCTCGATGCCGATTTTAAGGCTTCTCTGGGTTTCTGAGGGCACATCCCTAAGATTGCCATCGTCTTTGGGAATGTCAAACTAAGGGATAGGGATAGGTTCGAGGCTGGTTAGTCTGGAGGAGGGCGCGGCGGCGCGACGGCATCACTACGAAGCGTTCGAGGCCGGAGGTGCTCCTGCGCTCTCGGCGGCCGCCGGCCGCTCTCAGGCTCCCGCCGGGCCCGCCAGAAGTCGATGAGGAGCGGAGGCCGGCCGGGGTGCAGCCTTGGATGGGTTTCTTTCTCCCCCCCTCCTCCTCCCCCTCCTTCCCCTCCCCCTCCCCCTCCTCTTCCTCCTCCTCCTCCTCCTTCCTCCCCTCCTCCTCCTCCTCTTCCTCCTCCTCCTCCTCCTCCTCTTCCGCCTTCCTCTCCTCCTCCTCCCCCTCCCCCTCCTCCTCCTCCTCCTCCTCCTCCTCTTTCCGTAGCCATTTTGGCTCAAGCCTGCCTTGGGCGCTAGGCGGGCTAGGTGCTCGCGTTTGCCTCGCTCTTCTGCTTTTGCGCTCGAGAGCGGCTCATTCTCTGTCCCCTTCGCCGCGAACCGCGATGGCGGGGATGGACGACGGCACCAAGGATGCTACGGCGGGCAGCCCTCAGCGGTGGCAGCCCTCATCACGCCGCGCGCTGGAAGCCCTGCAGCTTGGGCAGACAGCGGCGCGCCGTGCCGCGCGAAAGCGCGCCCAGCTGGCGTGCGAAGCCGCGCTGGATCGTCGTCGTGGGCGTGGGCTGCTGCCAGGTTCCTGGCAGGATCGCGAGGCTGCAGCTCGCCCCGCCCTCCGCATGGCAGTTTCTGGCAAGAGAGTACCAGGAATTGCGAGGCGGCGGAGGAACGCAGCCTGGCACGCCGCCGAGGCCCCGCGCGGCGGCTTCACCAACGCATCGCTGGCGGAGCTCTCGGAGGCGGCCGCTGGACCTCGCCTTGGAGGCGCCTCGCGCGCCGCTGGCGTCCAGGAGCTGGATCTGGCCAAGGTCGTCCCGGCAGGAAGCCTGGCTCCGGGCTGCTGGAGCCTCCCGCCCAGGAACACCCTGAGGCGTGACGCTCCCGAGTTCGTGCCGCTGTTCTTCAACAGTGCTGTCGGCCCACCCGCCGATGGTGTCCAGCACTCGACGTCTGAGGAGAGCATCGTGCAGCAGCGGCACGAGTCTTCCGACCAGTCTGCCGCGAACGTGGCCGACGCCAAGCCCGAGATTAAGACCGCTGTTCAGTTCAGGGCGGCGGCGCTGGAGACGTTCGACACGAAGCCTTTCAACGACGGCGACCACGTGGATTTGCAGTCCGACTTCGTCGTCGCCTTTCGCTCCCTCGCCACGAGTGCCGATCCTCGTCCTGGAGGCCGTGCGCGTGGTAAAGGATACTGCTGAACCTGACCTGGGCGTTGCGCTTAGGCTCACTGTTTTTATTAATCGTCGCCTCTTTTTCTTTGATTGCAGTCCTTTGGTGCCTTATCCGTGAATATATCAGAATAATATTGCAGATTGCGCCGCCTAGCGACTCTCTGCCTGGGGTCGGTGAGGGACAGCCTCAACCTATAGTCAGTCCGCAGCCAGTGGAATTGTGATTCAGCATTCGGTTGGCACGCTCTCGCTTGCAATCTCGAGGCTTCGACAGAGACGGGCTGCAGCTACAGAGGCTGCAGGTATCGGCGCTAGCCACGTCAGAAGGCTATCGCTACTGCCCGCGAGCAAAAATCCTCCTCCTCCTCCTCCTCCTCCTCCTCCTCCTCCTCCTCCTCCTCCTACCTCTTCCTCCTCCTTCCTCCTCCTCGCCGTGGGGCCGATGTTTTTCGGACGGGGCTGGGGGGAGGATAGATCCGTCCCAGAGCGTTCTGAAACGCTCTGAGAAGGCCTCGGCGCCCCCTCCGGAATTGGACCTCGGATATTCTCGATGTGTCTTGACGCGATGTTCTCCTGTCTTGGCTTCGTCTTAGTTTTTGAGCAGCTTTGGAAGGACATCATTACCCAGACAATCTCGCGCCGTAACAAAAAACACATGACGGAGGTATATCTCATTTTTCGGCCTCTGGGGGCCCTTACCGAGCCCCCAGACCACCAAACGACACATCGGGATGAGGAGGGACGAGGGACGAGAGACGAGGGACGAGGAGGACGAGGAGGACGAGGAAGCTGAGGAGGAAGAGGAGGAGGAGGAGGAGGAGGAGGAGGAGGAGGAGGAGGAGGAGGAGGAGGAGAGTGAGGAGTGAGGAGGAGAACGAGGAGTGAGGAGGAGAACGAGGAGGAGAACGAGGAGGAGTGAGGAGGATGAGGAG